TTGAAGCCTTCATTTCTTAAGTGAGGCGTTGTCCCCCCTTCGTCCCTTTTTGTAAAGATATAACCCGATGTCCTCCTTGACCAATCTTTGCATGGTTGAGTTGCTCACATTGTCCAGTCTCTTCAAATCGCTTAATGACGCGATGAACTTGCTCTCGATGGAGTTCGAGCATCTTGGAAATCTCGGATACTCGGATACTGATGATCCGCGTTTGTACATCGCGACTATTGCTGAACGATCAACAAGCGAAACCATTTTTACAAATGAATACCAAAGAAGACTGCCCACACTAGGTTCAAAAAATGCGGGAAAATCAAATAACCCCATAATATAGCGGAAGAAGTAAACGAGAAGCCCAGAAATCGATTTTTTATTGCCCGTCACACTTCATGTGGGTCACCCTGTATACTCGGACCAGGCCAGTGAATAAAGGACTCGCTAGGTCTCGCCATGACTCGCCTCCAACTCGTTCTCTTCAAAAAGGGTAAGTCTGTCCAAGAGAAGTACCAAGCTGCTTTCGCACTTCCTCCCGCTCGGTTACGGGGAATTTGACAAAAGATTGATTGTAAGTTTTAATGTGCAACAAAATCATCTGGAGTGCGAGCGGGAGGAATCATGAAAGTAGCACAGAAAATTGTAAATCATGGCTGAGCCCGAGGTTCTCGTCTTGCTCTCTGGCGCGTATATCCCTCCATTCGCATGGAGTTGTCACCCGACCCAGCAAACCATGGTCGAACATGAACATCGATTCCCATTGGGACGCCATCTCTGCAAAGGAAGTCAATGAGAAATCAAATAATCAAAGGAAAATCGCGAAAATTTGAAGAGTAACGAGGGGAACCTTAACATTTGATTCTGAAGTCAACGATTATATGTAGTACTGTATGAACGTATGGGGTTTGTCGGTTAGGAACATCAGTTCCGGAGGTGCCACCCAAACAACGTTAGTTCAGAGTCGTGCAAGTCATTAGGACATCCAAAATCTTGACTTGAGGCTAACTAACGGTCTTATCAGGGTTGCTTCGTGCTCAGGCGTTTGAGTGTGAATGATTCTCCGAAATTTTTTTTGCCATGGAGCGTAGTCTTCAACTGAGCCTCAGAATGGTAGTAACACTGAGGTATGCAGATCTATTGCATGTTCAATTCCACCTTTCTTTCTTGCGCTTTAGCGCTTAGCGCTAAGAAGAGAGGTGGCCCAGTCTTCCTCAGCCACCATTCATTACCAAAGGGGAGACGGGCGTTAGGAACGATTTTCTGTAATCAATTGGCCGCACGCGGCTGTCGCGGACTTCGCTTCGCCGTTATTACAGCTCTGGCGTCCTTCCTACAACTCAATCGATATATTACCCTTATTTTAGCCATGATTCCACTGTTAATTCTTTTGTTTCTGTATTTCTTACTTGCTGCTGCATTCTGCTACATTCTTATAGCGCGCGGCGTCTCTCGCCGCGACGCGACAATTTCGTTCCTACTGCACCACATCCGGTGAGCGAGCCGTCCGTGGAACCGTGGTACAAGCAAGGCACTTTTTCTCCGCTTCATCTGAGAAGATAGTCTTTGTTTTGAAAATCGTTTCCTTCGGAGAAATTACCATTCCAACTTTTAGATGGCATTGGGATATTCGCAACATTTTTACTTATTAATGTCGATTCATATCCAACAGGATCACCTATTTACGTACGTCCGACACGACCGTCAGTAGTCTTCCTCCACTTTATGAATCAACTAATCCACACAAATGAAGTGGAAAATATATAAAAATATGTATGACGCCTTCCGTTTTTTCGAACAACAATCTTTAATCTGCATCGCAATTTTTATCGCGGCTTTATCATCCATTGGCAGTTAAGAACGCAATGGGTAAAAGTGGTTCCATCCCTACACAGCGATATCTTTCACAGGTTACAGTGAGGTCCTATTTTGTATAGTCACTCTATTTGTGCGGTCGAGTTGTAGCCTGATTATTGTAAAACGGCGTGGGTTCGTTTTAAGCTTCAACAGTACTGCACTCTTCGACACTTCGATTACCAGCTGAAAGCTTTACGGAATATTATTAGCCTGAAGTTTCTCGGTCCAAAGCACCATACGTAGAGTTCAAACCATAGCACTTTTCGTAGTCTCACAGATTAGTACTAATGGTAAGATCAAAGGCTCATTATGTTCACCCCTAGGACCTCTGTTCTATGGAAGAGATCCTTCGCAATGAAATCATAGCACCATGTTTCAGGGCTCCCAAATTTCTGGATCTGATTGATGGATGGAATAGGTATGAAAGACTTTCTGCTTAAACACAAGTATCATTAACAGCAGATTTCGGGTGTGAGTGACCGTTTATTTCTGTAGTAACGGACAATAATGGAGCGATCACTAACAAGCGCTCGACTGCCGATTTTAAGAAAATCCCAGTTGTTTGCGACCTTACTGTTCACCGAAGATGTGCAGAAGCTCCCCCAGTAGTTACCTCCGCTATACCCTTCAGAAGAGGGATTAACCCTAGCATAGACACAAGTGCACGGGCATTCGTATAATCATTTTCAGCGTTGTCTGCACCCTGCGCCGTCGTAACCTTTGCTAAGCATCCAAAAACGATTACTATTTCTATGTAACTGTGTAGAGATGATCACCCGGGTTAACTTGGTATGAAATCCATGTGTTAGCTAGTACTTCGTTCTATCATTTATCACACGGAGCCAGCATCAAGGTAGCCTACTTAATCGAATCTCATGAGGAGGGCAGATTTCCTGATTTGAGCTCACTACGACCATTCTCTCAAACAAAATTCCAAATGGGAGTGAAAATCAACTCACTGACGTCTCATACGTTACTCTACTCTGAATTATGGTCACTTAACGATAGACAATATTTCACCTTTCAGATATCGAAAGTATACATGAAGATGATCTGGAGCAGTGAGTCTTTCTATCATCCATGTAGAAGTACTATCACAAATTTCTCAGACAAAAAGGTGTAGATGAAATGTTGGGTTCCCAAATAAACCCTTGACTGAAAAATTCCACTCCTCAGTAAGCGGATGTTGTCATTCAAAGAGAGGAGATAATAATTCTGTAATTTGCTTCGAAAATTGAGGTTTTGCAAAAAACCTTGGATCTCTGAAAGACCGCGAAGGCATTGAAGGTCTCACGAATTAGGCTGGGCAATTAGCCCAGGCTTTGGTATCCCATTTATAGGTGCGGTGGTGCGTTGGTTCTTTCAAGACTGCTCCATCTCCGCCCAAACATTGCTCAAATACTACGTCGTATTCGAAAACTCATTACTAGCGGTCCCAAAATGAACATTTTAGTTTGCTCACTGAAGTTACAGAAGGCCTCGGATATGGATTTATAATGCCGTGAGCTATCGCTTCGAGCATTTTGATCCAATGTCACTGTTATTTTCTCCTCGACTATTCCAGATACTACGTTCTCGTTTCGACTATGGCGTCATCACTCGGAGTTATCATTCTCGTACTTTACCTCCATCTAACCAGCAGGAAAGCTGTGAAAACTGTCGGACATGAGTTCCGTGAAGGCCTGGGGCATGAAGGACATGAGGTAGTTATATTCAAGAACCTGATATTAAAGAGGGCGCGAGGGTGATTTGCCAGAAAAGGGAAGGGAAGAGGGAGGATTCGCTGCATGCAGCGACATCTGTTTTCAAGATTCAACTCCAATTCTTTCCAGAGAGAGAATTGGTCTACGAGGACGGTAACCGCAAGTCAAATAATACGGATGACAGCTGAACCGGANGCCAAGACGCAGATGGAGCAGAAGCCACCTGAAGGCACGAGACAGAAAGAGCAAAGTTCGAAGGAGAAGAAAGATGAGGAGCAGAAGGAGCAAAAATCAGCTGAAAAGGAGCAGAAGTCTGCCGAGAAGGAGCAGAAATCCGCTGAGAAGGTGCAGCCATCGGCTGAGAAGGAGCAAAAGTCCGGAGAGAAGGAGCCGAAGTCGGGCGAGAAAGAGCTGAAGTCTACTGAAAAGGTGCAGAAGTCGATTCAGAAGGAGCCAAAGTCGGCTGAGAAGGAGCAGAAATCTGGGGAGAAGGAGCAGAAGTCCAGTGAGAACGTGTTGAAGTCTACCGAGAAGGTGCAGAAGTCGATTCAGAAAACACAGAAGTCTGCTCAAAAGGATCAGAAATCGGCTGAAAAGGAGCTGAAGTCCGCAGAGAAGGAGCAAAAGTCAGCCGAGAAGTCAGCTGAAAAGGACGTCACGAAGCAGAAAGAGCTGAAGTCGGCAGAAAAAGAGCAAAAATCAGCAGAGAAGCCATCAAAAGAATCGACGAAACAACGTCTGAAGAACTTCTTTTCTTCATTCTTCAAGTAATGTTCCTCAGAAGAATTACGTCTATAGTATTACCATATTCAAAACGACATCACATTCATTATTCACAGTCTTCTTAAATAAAATGTATGTTACATTATGTAGCGTGAAAAGAAGTCAGATCAAGACTTGTATATGATTCAAACACATATAGCTTTCAGATCAATTGTTATCTTACTCAAATTATTCATTCGGCATAGGTTGGGCTAAACCTTTAGCTCTTTACATTGATGAATAATCAAGTAGAGAATGCGAAATGGACCGAATTTTGGCATTCGGATAAAAAGATTATGCGAATTCAATCCATTATGCCAACCTTTGTCTTACTACCCATTCATTTAAGAGTCTTTCCCAGCCTTCTTTTCCTGGCCCCAACGCCATTTGAGAGCAGTAAAGGCATTAGGGCCAAGATCTACTTAGTAAGGAGATGGCAAACGGGGACGCTTCAATAATACGCAGAAAGTAATTGATAATAAAGATGTTCATACCTCCGATCCAAAGAAAAGATTCGTCTTCGATCAGGGAGGTAAGCGTCGAGCATAAGAGAGGAGCGTATTCATCAGATGCCTTATGACGAGCTGAATACGATGGTTCTAATTAATGGAAATGTAAGAGTGACGAAGAAAAAATAGAGTAAATTCGGTGTAGCCCAGTTTCGACCGTATGCAGAAGTGTATGGCGGCTCTGTTTTGGTAAAGAATGCACAAAAAGTGGTCGGTGCCACTTACAAGAAATTCCAGAGCCTACGCTTTCATGCGAATTTGAAAAGGACCTTGAGTTAAGGAGCTTTTGATGAGATAGGAACATGGTGAGGAACTGACATCTATCAGTATCTCACCCTCGACGTAGTAGCACTTACCGCCAAGATGGACGAAGTGAGTGGCACAGTCGTAGAGTTCGCCCAGGGTGCGATGGGTTCAATGTCGTAGTTTGGCATGGGACCCATAGAAAAACCGTCAAACCGACGACTAAGGTACTCAAGCGATCCGCCTTAGTGTACACTGCAGAGTGACAACTTCCAGGTATTGGTCTCACGACTTTTCCAGCGTTGGCAAGCTATTCTCTGCAGGACTTTCTGAAAACTAGCCAGCTGTGGGCTGGTCATAACGTTGGAGAACGTTATAGTCTCTGCTGGTTGATATCGATCTGTCGTTATTCATCGATGATTCGAAACCCGATCCGGACCCAGCTGTCCCCCTGGGTTTCCGGGTATCCTTGGAAGCAAAGATCAACTCAACCAACATTCTCTCATTGTTATTATATTAGTCTTACGATAAGGCCGCAACGGAGTTATTCAATTCGTTCCGTTAAGTGCTAAAAACGTCTTTTAATGGGGTGTTAACGGCGTTTCTGCTTTCAAGATATGGTGTCACGAATATATGCCGAAAAAATCGGAGATAACGCTCTCCGAGGTTCTCCTGCTCGCCTGCGGGAAAATGAAAGTTTCTGGTAAGTTCCCGAGTGACTATTGTTATTCACGTCAGCATGGTATAAAATAATCATAAATTTGCACTTTTCAGTGGTGGTTCAGATCGTTTTCTGCGTGGGTTGGAGGTTTGTAGACTGAATTCGTTTCAGTAATTTCAACAGTTTTACCTCCAAAAGTTCAGCTGTTTAGCAATGCGATTCTTCCCGACATTGGCGTCTCAGACTATTCATGTCCGCCTGAGTTGATGAGGAAAAGTAAGACGATCCCGACGAATGTCAATTCCGTCCGTCCAGCTGACATCAAACTTGTCATGGCCCTCGGAGATTCGCTGACGGTGAGCTCGGTGTAAAACCTGGCTTGAGACCAAACATCTCAGATGGAAGACATCGAAACTAATGAGCAGCGAATGACTCATTGTGAAAAATTCGCAGATGCACAAATAAAAAGACAATTTCAGGCCGCCAATGGAGCAGGCGCTGAAGATCCGGTAGGAGTCATCCTACAATACAGAGGACTGGCTTTTCAGGCAGGAGGTGATAATTCACTCGAGCAGCACGTCACTATTCCAAGTCAGTTCCTATCCATCACCAGAAAAACTTTTATAGCTGGCTTGAAAAGGGCAAACACCTAGCATACCAACCACTAATCGTTGGGGCGCAATCCTGATGAGCGATGAGCGTCGAATTTGCGTGACGCTTTGCCCGGACCTTTTGCCACACATCCGAAAGTTTGTCGTATTGCTAACGAGAAAATTCTGTATTTGCAGATATTCTGAAGAAGTACAATCCCGATCTTTTTGGTTATTCTGTCGGCATCGGATCACCGAATGTTTGGGAAGTGTCTCGCTTGAATGTAGCGATGCCCGGAGCTATTGCAGCCGATCTTCCTGGACAGGCTCGTACTCTCGTTTCACTGCTGCATGCTCATCCAGAAGTAGGTATTCCTTCGTTTCATATGTCCTGTCCAATTATATGGTCCCTTTTCATGGTAGACACCTTATTGGGACACTATGAGTAGGGGGACACACCCTAATGAATTGTTGGGCTCTGTCTCTCTTTAACCAACATACTCTCAGTTGGCTTTCAGTCGGTCAACTTCGAAAATGACTGGAAACTACTAAACATCTTCATCGGTGGTAACGACATGTGCTCATTCTGTAAGGACCGGGTAAGTGCCGGCGATAAGCAATTCATGAACCGCAGCTGAAGCAGCTCTTCCAGACACTCCAACCTTCCGAATGTGTCGAACACATCGAAGAGGCCGTCAAGATCATCTACGACAATGTACCAAGGGTGATCGTTTCCATCACTGCCATGCTTCAACTCGAAATCCTACGACAATCAGACAAAGGACGAGTATTCTGTCAGGGGCTCCACAGGTACAACTGATTGTGACACTATCGATTAGTAAGGAATAAGTAGTTGATTGCAAATTTTAGAGAAGAATGCCCATGTGAAAGTGACGCGAAGGACTTCAACAATACTTATTTGGCAAACGTAAAATTTGAGCCCTTCTCCTACACTGAACAACCGAAAAAACTGATGGATCCCAGTTTAGGCTTGTATTGACTATGCGAATCGCGAAATGGCTTTTGCAGCTTCGGGAAAGTATGACAGGAGTGATTTTGCCGTCGTTACACAGCCGTTCTTCCGTGATATCAGCACTCCTCCCATGAAGGTATAAATTGAAGCGCAAAATTGTTGGTGCTAATCAGCCATTACCAGCAGGCACATCGCTTTTCCGACTTCCATTCTAATTTTTGTACAAAAATGGCCCGTTCAGGCTAAGACGTACGAAGAGCGGTTTATAACCAAGTATTTTGATCCTTCCATTATTTGGTAGATCTACCAAACAAGCGGCTTAGGTAGACCAGGGCTCATGTTCTCTCACAGACAGACGACATTCCATCTGGCTACTGTACTTCTAATTCTAACATGATAGGCGTAGAATGAAATTGCCTGCTTGGAAAAACTCTTCAGCTATTAGTTCGATGTTTGGCGCACATATTCACCGCACGGGTAAGCATCGCTCCCTGGGTGGAGACGGGTGGTGGAGATTTAACATGGGTTAACCATGTCTTGATATCAGTTTGCTTTTTAGAAGAATAGCCAAAGAGGAAAAGGAATAAAAGAAAAGAAAGGGAAAGAAAAAAGAGGATGATGGAGAAAATTTTGATAGTGACGTCAGCTGAGCGATGTGAGCTACTGTTCAAAAATTTCCATTCAGCATAAAAGGCAGTAAAAGGCGATACTTACCTGAGCAAAGTTAGCGCCGGAAGAATCGCTCTCCCCTTTATTCTGCAATAGAATTGGTTCGATTTCACGTGATTATATATCAAACGCTTTTCCTAGGATGGAGAAGTAAACAGACAGTTCTTCGCCCCAGACTGCTTCCATTTCTCTCAATGGGGCCATGCCTTGGTATCGACATGGTTATGGAAGAACATTATGGAACCAGTTGGAGCAAAAACAACTCAGGGATCTGCAAGTGAACCATCATTGCCATTAGCTTGCCCTGACGAGGTAATTCCCTTCAGAACTATTTCTGCCAGATCATCTCTCACTGCAAAGCAATTCATTACAGGCTTGTCCGTTCATTCGAACCAATGAAAACAGCAAAGACTGCAGCCGATACCTTACTCCCACATAAAGCACATAAGGTAGCAATCATGAAGAAGTATATTTGATACTTACGTCGTAGCGATCTGAGAGATAAACGATTCTTCCTGGCCTAGTCGGATAGAGGTGGAGAGATGAGATGCGTCTGCAATTATCGGTTGAGTGACAGAATACAAAGTCGAATACAGCATATCTACGGAAGAAATCCGATCGTAATCAAATATCTTACTCCAAATATTTTCGAAAAAGGGTAACAAGTTGGGAAAAGAATGTCTTCTCGATGAAAGCCGAGTAAGTAGTCACAAAAAAGACAAAAAGAAAATGAAGAAAAAGAAAAGTTGCAAATCGATGACCATTTGCTCCTCGCTCGTCTCAGTGGGAACGAAGTCCACGGTCCATCTAGGTCGATGGCACGCGACCGCAATCGACCCCAGGGCATCCCATAAGTAGGCAGATCAATAACATTTATAATAAAATGATGCATAAAGCCATCACAAAGATTCCAAATTTTGAAAGATATCTTTTGACAAGATCATGAAACACAGCCAGTCTTCTCCCCACGATCTACGTCTGAAAGAAGAAATATTCAATTCAAACGTGGCTTTCTAATCAAGTGTATATGAAAACAGTTCCCTATTTTCTGGTCTCCAATTTCTTCACGTTAATCCCAAATGGACAGATTTCAAGTATTTTTATGTTTGCCCAGGCATAATTAGAAAATCTATTCCAAGATAACCATGGAAACCTGCCCTACCATCCGTACATGTTTTACATTTGTTTATATACGAAGAATTTTTCAAAACACATTTGAAATTTTGAGGGATCGGTTGGGACTTGGGTACCGTCTCCCTGACAGCTGGGAAATCAATTTGTCCAGGCGATAAAGGGTTCACCCAGGTGGCAAATCAAATCAAACCTTTCATAAGAATTCATGGACGTTTTATGTGTTTCTGAATATGTATAAAAAATAAATAATGATGGAATATGAAATTACGAATCAAGATCAGCCATAGAGGAAAGGAAAAAGACTGCATGTTGAGAAACTCCTCCCTAGCGAACACCCATCGGCAAAATACAGCGGAGGAGGCCAAAGAACGTTTTGGTTCATAGATCATAAGAAGGTTTGGTATGAAATTTCCAACTCAGAGACTAGAATGAAGCAAGAATGGCGATGGCTTGGTAGAACAGATAAAAGAGGTGAAACACACACACACCACATTATTCCAAACATTTGATGAAAGAAAGACAACAGGATTGAAGCATGAAGAATAGGCTAATGGATTCTTAATCAAGAAGAGATCCTGAATAAAGAGTAGACCCACAATGGAAGAGTTGCATGATAAATAGGAGAGTTTCCTCACATCTCACCCACTTTGATAAGATCTGATCATTCACTTCAAGAAAGTCTGATAAAAAAGTCCATTAAACTAATTGGAGTGAAGCTGGAACGAGCGAGATTCCGTATAGACAAAGTGATACGGATAAATAAGAACAGTTCTCTCACATCAAATTCATTGGGAATGTCTGTTCTAAAATAAACTAACAACCAAGTGGAGAGAAGCAAGGAGCTAGTAAGATTCAGTAAGATTCAAGCGATAAGTGATCGTATATCGCTGGCCTACGGGAAAAATGAAGGACTTTTTTCATATTCGTTTCAAAAAGCTCCTATACGAAATAGCCTAACAATCAATTGGAATAAAGCAAGAAAAACGCAATGGTAAGGCTTCGAGAAAGAAATCCTATACGATTGGCTAAGAAATATTTTGTAATTGACATGGGATGTGAATAAATCTGATTATTACTCTCTCTCTCTAACGACCCACAGGTCTGCATAAAACAACCATAAAAAATCTCATAAAAGATTCACCCGGTCTCCGCTTTTGTAAATTCTGTCAAGTACTCTCTCAAACGGCTATGACCATTGAGAGTAACAGATCCATCTTCAAGATAGCACTTTATATACAAAAACATGCTACAAAAAGAAGAGAAGTCACAAGAATAGATTATTTACAGCATTCAAAATCAAATGAACATTAAATTAATACACATTCAAGTAAAATTGGATTTGAGACATTTACCATCACGATTAAAACTATACAGGCAGTTGTCCATTCCTAGTGAAAGATGTAGTAAGACCGATTAGAGGTTACCAGTAATCAGCCGTCACTGGCTGCTTTCCATAGTTCACGTTTTGGCGAGCGACTGGTTGCGCGATCGGTCGCTCGCCAATCGTGGACTACGAAAGCAACCACTGTGTTAATTGGAAGTTTTTATGAAACATGTTTACCAAAGCTCCACTAAGGCTGGAATTACGGCTGCTTACACATGAACACCTTAACAGCATTACTAATTATAACAGATATGCTACAGCTCAGAACAAAACGAGATCTTTCTTCGAAAAAAAAAAAACAGACTTGCGGCCCCCAAACGTGATTGCAGAAAAGGAACGTAAAAGCATGCTCATAGATATGACATACGTATGATAGGAATTAGCAGATGAGTAGAAAATGGTAGTTGATCAAATCAGGCAAATGCTCTTAAAGAGCATCATGCGCCCAGCTTTATTTCACCTGACAGCTTCAAGTGCAAGGATTACATCCTTGATTCTAACCTCTGCTATGAAACGGTGTTACTACGAAATATATCTAATTCTGCAGCGGTTCTGTGGATTCTCTTGACCGGAATCGTTCCGAGAATAGAACAATCTCGTCATCCGGTGATCGGACTCTGCATCTACTCGGCAACTCCGACGAACGCAAAGAATCACTCGTTATCCTATGGGCTGAAAAAAAAGAGTGTGAGCTATTTGACAACGACTGGAGAAGGAAAATGGGATGCATGATCTCTCGAACAGTTTGTAGAGAATTCATCGAAAGGATAAACGAAGAGCTAAAAAGGAATCATATTGACATCATCAAAAACTAATCTCACCTGGACTCGAATGGCCGGATAATTCGTCGAGAATCGACCCGGCCGTGAAGTGAGATGAAGTATTATGACCATAAAGCAAAGGCAAATATTGCAGATTTCCACTGGACCACACCTGCAAGAATATGTTACACTGCAGTTTACAACCCCTGTTAACTAGTAAGAAACTCACTATGGAGAGCATGGATCCGTTGCTGAACTTCGGTAAGAAAAAGAGTATGGACGGATGGCCATATAAAGGAGCTTCCACGAAACCGCTGAAAACTCATGGCTCTTTAACAACACAACAATTGCATTCACTACTTTAAGTATGTAATGAATCTTCCACCTCGGAGTAAGTCTTGCTATCGGCAACCAGTCCACTATGAACAAGGCGACGACAGGCGGATTTTCTGAAAGCAGAAAACAGAATGCGAAACCATATGTCGCATCTCAGACCAGTACACATCAATTATCGGCTCGTATGAGCTACAGAACTACACTAGGGGTCTGAGGGAACTATATGTCGGATATAACTTTCAGAACTCGATCTCTACGAAGACAGTCGAACTAGAATTCTGGTCTCACAAAAATGTCACTCATCTAAACTACCTTTGAAACTGACTGCCAATCTTTGTCCATCCGGGCTCAACGTCAACGCATGAACTCTACCACCAATATGAACGATTTCTCTGAAAAAAGCAAAGATGTCAAGAACTACCCTCATAATCAGAATGTGAAACCTTGTGAAATAAAGAAATAACCTTTCGACAGCTCCTTCAACTTCGAGCTCTGACGGATCAAACTCGACCGGTGAGACATCGAATATTGAAACGGCACGTGTGTCACCAGTCCAGCGTCTGAAGAGATAATAAGGCTAGTTGTTGTGCCCCACACTTTTTTTGTGGTGTGCAAAAGAGTTTCTGAACAAAGGACGTGGACATAGCGAAGCCTTGAATATTCCGTCAGTGTAGTTGTGAACTCGGAGTCTTTAGGTGGAGAACTCAGTGGGCACATGTTCAGAATTGATTACAAGCTTCACATTAGTCTCAATATTATATTTACAACCACAGCCCGTTTTCAACCTTGTAGTCTTCTAGCTTCATACGACAAGTTTCATACGTTGATGATTATTGTCTCTGTGTAGTAGCTGATTATCTACATCGAAAGTGAAACCAAAGCGAAGCATCATCCGTAAGAAGCTAAGAATAAACGACGGGGTCGTTTCAATTGAAAACATGCATCCAAAGGCTAATCACGAGGTGCAGTACAGCCGGAGCTACTCGGAAAAGTAAAAAATGGACTCTAGAGGCGGAAACAAAACATCAACTTACGCTTCAGTAATTCCATCCTCATTTAGCACATTCTTTGTTACAAACGAAATTGTGTAGAGCTGATAGCTCTCCTCAGAAGCAAACAACAGCGAGTCTCCAGCAGGCGACCAAACAGCGCTAACTGCTCGACCTGCTAGGCCGCTCCATCGCTCTTCATGCCATGTACTACGGTCGTATACCCTGTAATGCATAAATTTAATCAAATGTTGCCATTGGTCATGTGAATCATTCACCTTATGACATTGCCCGTATAAAGGACAGCAAATCGGCGACCATCAAGTGTAGGTACAATTCTTGTAACATTACCACCAGTCCATGCACCAAAGCAATCCACCTCACCGGTGGATATGTCAACTATCTGTAGGACGAAATTGGGTAGAGCACGCTTGTAAAACAAAAAGGCTATATTGCTTACCATGATCTTACTGCTGTTCGGTGATACAGCTAATATAACATTTGATGTTGTACGATCCCAAACAATTTGACTGATGGGCGTCGCAGGCAATTCAACGACTTGAGCGCAACGAACAGATGGCCTGAAAGTAATGGCAGTCACAGGGAAAAATTGAATAGCTTCAAAGTTTTCATAAATGATTTCCAAGCGGGCACTGACAATATTAGCTGCAACTCGTTAAAAAATCCAAATTGTCATCCTCATATGTAATGATGCATAGAACTACTATACAGAAAAAAACCTTTGAAGATCATTTGAAATGCATTGAAATGAAATAACTTGCATCTCATTCCAGCAATAAAGATGAACGAGGTGAAGATCGTTTCCGAAGCCCGTCATCTATTTTCTATTTTTCTACTTTTTATTTTCTACTGCTCTCACATCCGACCAAAGTTGTTTACTTAACGCAAAATGCTCACTTGATGTTTGTTGCCTTCACACTAAGCCTCCATATGAGAATCTTGTTGTTTGCTGCAACAGCGAGGACTCGGTGATCAAATGGCCTGAAAGTGAGGACGAGTAATTACCATAAATCAGTAGCAGCACAAAAACAAACAACAAGACACACATTCTAAAATACAGATAGAATCTATAGAACCCGTTTTCTTTTGGGTTTCGAGAGCGCCAACGCTACTAACTTTATTCTAAAGCCGTCACCCCAGTATTAAAAAAAGGGAATGAATTATTGGGAATGCTGGACAGCAAGTGAGGTGGTGCATTTCAAAGAAAGCTGGCTATATAACTTAAGTACATTGAAGTTTTCTTTCACCGATTCAAACTGGAGGCATTTAACTGCTGCAACACAGTTCACGCAAAAACAGTAACACCGTAACTTACTCCCAAGCCATGCACGCGACGTTATTCTGGAGAGGATGTTTTAAGGTTAGTGGTGTTTTCTGATTCCGACCAATGTTATAGATCCGAATGTAGTTGTTATTCTGGCATAAAGCAAGACGTCGCCCCTCATCATGTGCAGCAACACATCGCAGCCAATTATTTTTCCTGAAAAAATCTGCTGAGCTTTGCTCAGATCATATCTTAGAAGAACAGTCTTTTCAGACTAGTCTATCATAAAAGAAATAAACAGCCAAAACAAAACACTACCAGTTCATCGTGCTACTGTATTCATGCAGAAGTTCCTCGATGCGATCCTGTCCCATGGAGGGTAGTACTCGAGCTGCTATATTGGCAAATCCATTTTGTACTCGCAGTACTCCTCGACCTGAAATCAGCTGTTTACGGTTTTATTATTCCCAGGACACGCTAGAACACCTATCCAACCTAGACTATCATATTCCTTTTTTTCTACTATCTTTTCCATTTTTCTATTTAGGGATACATCTCGGTGTACTATCATTAACAATAAAGCAAAAGAATTCAGACAATGCCCTCAATCTGCTATCGTGGCAAAGAATCTAAGAATCACGGTAATGCCACCGAATTCCACATCTGATTTCCTCAAGACGTCCGTATGGACCGAATCGCTTCATGTGCTCTGTCTTACCAAGTCTAGAAATCGGCCACAGTTTGCTATCTTCGGTGATTTTGGAGACATGATCGATGACACCGGTTATACCGTCCTTTTCCCTGAGTAAGAAACAAGTAGACATACATATCAAGCCCTATTAAGAACAGCAAAAAGAATACCATCGATCCATGGCCTGCTTTAATGGGTCAGCTTCCCGGAATACATATGTGTCGGCAACATCACTTTTGGATATGGAATGTTGAAGACTATTGAGATGAGCTCTTTCGACAAATGGATAATCAGCCATCTACAGAAAGAAAAATATGATCGAATAGAATTCGTCATTATCTCAATGCCTTGGATCACAGAGAAGAGATAGTTCTGATTAAGTCTCTTTGCCGAAGGTTCAATGACAGAGGTGCTCGAATACACAAAAGTTGCCGAACCGGTATCATTTCTTGGAATGAAAATATTTCAAATACTCACCGAATCACATTTTGCCATTCTACGGAATTCTTCGATATTTCCAGTCAATAATCGTCCATTGTATTCTTGTAACACATATGGCTTCCCTGCCGAATTCAATGGTGGAAACTCCAGCAAAGACATCCTGAAACGCCTTCAAACTACACCTCAAAAGTCATCATTTAAATTATTTTTCCAAATTAAACGGCATCCAAACAAGACAGACGTAAAATAATATTTTAAGAAAACAAAACGAATACGGGAAATAAAACTCAACGAAATGTAAAATTCAAATCCGACTGTTGTGCATTTGCACAATAAGTGCAGCTACCGTAATGACACGACTGAATTTATCTGACATAAGCCCCTCATGGAAAGCAATCCAGTGGATCCGGGAGTTGCTGGGAAAGATTTTTTAGACAAATTTGAAACAGAACCACTATTTACCATGCTGCGACTGTACTAAGGATTCGGTGCCTTCATTTCAAAAAAATTCAGGGCGAAAGACTGTCAATGGCGCTGGGTCCAGGGCTTGGAAAAAATAAAAAAGGGTGCCCAGGGGTTTTGGCGGTGAGAACTATTGAGACACTTTTCGCAAATTCTTTGAAGGGTAGCGGTGGAATCACTGTAGTCGACGATCGAAAAGGTTCGACGCAATCCTTACACTACTAGACAAGTTGTTCATTCGTAAACCTGCATGGTTAATGAACGGTCTTGGCAATTGGTGGCATCCTGATTATTAGAAATAGCTAGGTTTTTCATTTTTTCACTACTTTTATTTCGTTGGGCTCAGTTCTATTCAGCAGAAAATATGCTGTCCATGAGGACGATGTGTGGTACCGCATTGTAAAGAAAAAACTGATTGCTTTAAGACTCAGACATCGAGATTGTCCATTTGTAAAGTCATATGAATGAGTTGCATTGAAATATATGTAGTAATTATAATTTTAGGATTTTAAGATCCCCCTTTAACAAAAAAAAACATGATGATAGATTTGGGACCATCAAGAGAAAGCTGTGTGTAAGAAGCGAGTTCAATGCCATCGCCGCTAAAACGTTGTGCGACGTACTTATGTGTCTTGAAAAGTATTTCAATAGGCTCTTTCCTGACCCTCCTACGGTAGTTGAACAGGACATTCCATGAGACTGCTTTGACGGCAGTTAAAACTGCTACCCGGAATTGATCACGAGTAGGACCATTTGCAACTAAAACAAAACGAATTTGCTATCACCCAGGCGCCTAGAGGACATAGTTCACGATGAAATTAGTTTCTAACATTCTGCTCTTAAATGAAACGCTGTCGGGTCGAAAAACCACTCCGACAGGTCATTCATTACAAGGGCTTCAAACCGCCTTGGCCGACCCACCCGCCTAAAAGTGGCCGTGCTATGCCGTTCTTGCTGTGCCTGCACTATTCACAATGAAACGTTGGGATGCGTCGAATAGTACACGCACGTGAGAGAAACCCAGGCGGTTACAGACAGTGATCTCGTACACCCACGCTTTCACTACCTTTCTGGAGCCTTATAACTTAAAAACCTCCGATTTTCTCGCTTTCTATGCCATTATGAACTATTCTGCACCATACCTTCCATTATTTCATTCAAAGTATATGCTGCAGATATATCGTGAGCTCTGCTGACTTTAATAAGTCATCGACCTGTAGATACACTGGAAAACCGCTTCGAAAAGCTGGCTGGTGTTGATTTTGTTAACAAATGCGCTCTAACTATGCCCAGGTGAGACGTGAGACCTTGCAACTGTCTTCTACAAGTGCACTGAGTGCCTCTTCACACAATTTGTTTTCTAGTCAGATTTCGCAGGCATAGAAATGGCTTCCCGGAGGAAAATTCCGGCAACCCTCAGGACGTCCCTGAATCCCTCTTCTCCTTATAACTACTTAATGGGGGAGGTATTCTAGACAAATTCACATACAAGCCCGAGTCAGACCTTTTTCCGCTCCGCCCAGTTCTTTTTTGTTTAACGAAATCGATGCGGGCGCAACATCGCCCCGGCGACGGCGACAACCCGCAATATAAACGAGGTGGGAGGAGCTATGAAGGGAACAATCGTTTCGTTCCACTCTCTTACCTGCAGCCTGACAAACGATGGACGCATCGCGTGAGTCTTTAGAAAAACTGCTCTAGACATTTTGAAATTTCTTCTCTCCTCTATTGGAAAACTACGCATTGGCTTCGAAACAAATAGTACATTTTCGCTTATTCCTTGAAATTCCATTCACTGAACTTTCTGTAGGACTATCTTCCTTTCACAATCATTGGTTAGACCGACTGGCACGATCACTGCTCTGGAATGCGCCATGTAGATTGCCGTTTAGAACTATGAAACGCTACAATAAGTCCCCCTCTAGGTACCGACCAAAGATAGCCAGGTCATTTCCTGTTGGGAGGATTGTTACCGAACTGCAAAGGTACAAAGACATTGCCTAACAATTCCCAGATTTCTCAAAGGAATTTCGGAATTCCTACCTCTAACAATGCCATTTTGGGATGCGCCTTGCATTTGAGCACCATTCAGAATCGTAATGGCGTTCCAGTTACGTTTGTGGCCTGTACAATTACTTCCGCTGGCTAGTCCACTTGTAGTCAGTGCCTCTATCTTCCCAAACGGATGTGGTACCAGCCAACCACCCCGGAGGGTTAGAAGGGTTGGTAGGCGTAGACGAGC